GCGTTTTGATAATTATCATTAGCCCTTTAGTTGACTTCAGGCTTCACAGAAGGGGAAGGAACACCAAAGTGAAAAAAGTCGAGAGAGGTTGAGGGGGGGGGGGACAGAAGAGTGTTTCAACGATGTAAAAGTGATAGACACAAAGGTAGAAAAAAAGTTGAGGTGAGTACTGTGGAAGTAATCGAATATGACATACAGTGGGACCATGGTAGTTTGAAGTGAGAAGTCAACTGCCGGTTTATAGACTTTTTGCCGTATGAGTATAGGTTGCCCAGGGTGCACCACGTGGAGGTAAGTCTATCGCATACCCCGGATTTTAATAAGTATATGTCTAAAGCGGAGCAGTTTTAAAGATAACCAAATGACTATTATAGTAGACATAGTTGTATAAATTGCATTTTCATCGTCTTATATTGCGCACACCAGTTTAAATTTCCCTTTGATAGAGGAAAAAGGAGGGCATCAAAAAGTGTACGAATTCAACATGCAGTCAAGAGCAGTAATTCCAGCATACAATTTTCACAAATTTTCATTTGACTAAGCCAAACTTGAACTAGTTGGTGATATCTGACCATTTGTTGGAAGTTCACTAAAATATGCTCACAATACAAGTTCATTTAAGGAAAGTGTGTAAAAACTTCGTTGTTAATCACACGTTCTGGAAAGACACAGAACATTTCTTAAGCTATTGTCGATATCTTTGCCCATTTTTCTTTTACCAATCGGGATTCAATAATATGTTTTAATTCATTCTCAACACTTTCTATTTCTAACTGCCTTTTTAAGGTTAATAATTTAATAATTTCAATGAAGTAGCCCGGTAGACAAGGCTTTCGGCAAATACAATCCCAACAAATATCTGAGGTGATGAACCAAAACTAACTGCAATGCTAAAGCAAGACAATTTGATAAATTGTTCTTTTGTATTAAGAGCTTTTTGGCATATATATATATATATATATATATATATATAATGATCCGATCTTCAAATATGGCACATGTGGGGAATGTGAGATAACCCATATTGTTGTTTTAATATTTCCTCTTACATGGGAAATTTTAAATTCCAAATTAAATTCGCTTATCCGGAATCCCAAATGGAACGATATCAATTGGGCATATGTTTCAACCTCGTTTAAGGATTGATAAGGAAAGATATGATCAGTATAAGGACAAAGAAATCGAGGTAGGAGAAGCAGATATGAAGAAAGTAAAAAATATTTACATCAAGTGCGAGCAAATTTGTAGCGACATATTTTTAACAGGTCTTCTTCTGAATTTTGTTGACCTTATCGGTAATTTATTCGTATTTATCGAAATACATTAAAAGATCTGACGCTTATTTTAAGTGCGGCGAAAAAACGGGCATGATTTCGTTTCCTTTAGTGATTAATTAATGTAATTAAAAATGCTTCCTGTTCGGAGAAAGTCACTTGATGGATTTCTTAAATAAACATAGGTTTTATTAAGATAAGTTGTCCTGGGTTTCTATCTCTTTAATATCGATTTGATTTGTCTGATCAATTTTGTAAATTTTCAATAAGATCATGGAGATGATTCGGAGTCAATGTTGTTGCGATATTGGTCGTCTTTAAAGTGTTATAAAATGTAATCATTTCGAAGTTATTTTAAGTAACCTTTAAACCCATTCCCACCTTCAATAATTTAAATGACATGAATAAAAAATGGCGAAAAATTTATAACGGTTATTTTTAAGAAAATTAACTAACTTAATAGTTTGTGCATTACCGATTCTATTAGACTGTCTTTATTGCTTTCATAAAAGCCTTCTAAACATGATTATACAAATATGAAATCGATTAGTAAAATATGGCACTTAATATAACTCAAATCACAAGTTTCAAGAATACTTTTTCAATAATTCTCTTGATTGTCTTAAAACAGCATATTTGTACTTTAAGTTATAGCATTTGAGGGCTAGAGACTGATTTATGAAACATTTAGCGTTATAATTGAAATAAAATCGGTCCATGTTTCTGTTTTAAATTTTCATACCATTAGTTCAAGTTGGAAGAATATTTATAAACCTGAGTTGAGATGATATAAGTTTGATAAAACAACATTTAAATTATTATATGGGACATCTCAGCTAGTACTTTCAAAAGGCTAATATTTGCATTCAAAAAGTAAAATGGCTAATTTTGGTAATTTTATTAATAATTCTTAATGCATTTATTAGCAATAACTTTGGGGGCTCAATTTTAGTCTTTTTATGCGCTGTACTTTGAAATCGCATTCCAAATCCACTCATAGGGGTTGATTGATCTATCTTTGTATAAATAAGAGAAATGGGGTCAGGGCAGTCGTCACTGAGCTATAGAACTGCTTTTGTTGAATTAACAAATAAAACTCAAGTAAATGGATTTTTAAACGCTTTATTGATCAGCCTATCGATGCCAATAACAACGAATTTTGGGATCAATTTTGGTGTGATGGTCCGACAAAGATTAGTGATATGTTTGCATCGGTTCCTGGAAGTGAGATTAGAACATTAAGGGAAGAATCTCCTGGTAATCTAGCAACACTTTGCTATAAAGCAGTTGACTGCCTTGCACAAATTGCTGAGGACTCTTTCCCAACTATTCAGGATCAGCAAACCGGTACTTAGAGTGCCTTTCTTATTTCTTTCATTCTTAGCTATTAACTGTGTTCGACTTTTAAGCCGTATTATACCATATCTGTTTGAGGATCCAGAATGGAGGCCATTCTTTTGGTCTGTTTTACCTGCTCAAAATGACTCAAATTCCGATGTTGTATGCTCTCATTTTTATTTATTTTCATATTCTATGTAGACAAGTAGTGTTCCTTTGGCTCAAACTCTTATATCTTCTCTTTGTGTAAGTTTTTTTCAAGTTTAATGCGCTACATCTAGGATTTACTTTTCTGCCCTGATTTTACTGTCCACTCTCTAACAAAACCTGGTCCTGATAATGCGGAAGATATGCATACAATCGATAGTTGCGAATATATCTGGGAAGCCGGAGTGGGTTTTGCGCAATCGACTCCACCAAACGCCCAACATGACGAAAACCGCACGGAAATTATCCGCCTCCTCCTTGTCTGCTTCTCTGAAACAATGTATCTCACCCAGAGCGAAGCTCGAAGTGAAGTGAACAAATGGATTTCCTTTTTCTCCGGACCTGAAAACCGACACGTTCTTCCACTTTTCACTTCTCTCCTCAATGTTGTCTGTGCTTACAATCCCAGTTCTTCCTCACTCCCCTACAATCATTTAATGTTTACGGATTCGAGGGAACCTCTTGTCGAGGTTGCACTTCAAGTTCTTTGTGTCACTCTTGAAGCTGAAATACCCAGTCTGGATACAACGGGAAAGGGGCCCTTGAATAGCTCAACTTCAGATGTTGGTGGTGGCACTAACCTCTTTCTAAATTACATGTCGCGTATTCATCGAGATGAGGTATGAAATTAACTGGTTTAATTCTTTTTTTTCTGAAAATTGATTTTTTGCTTAATTTCCATAAGCAATTCTAGTCTGATTAATCTGAAAATCTGTTAACGTTCAAATCATAAATATAGTCCTGCTTTGCCCATAGTGTAGAAAATTCTCAAGATGCCTAATGTAACCATTTAATTCAATCAACATTCGAATCTTAAATGGCTAATCAAGATTTTTTTATTTGCGGTTGAAGAGAGGAAGAATGGATACCTATAACCGAAATGGGTATAACTGCTTAGGTTGCGCTGATCAGACTATTGAAGGCGGTTTCGATCTCAACTTATTCAGCCTTCCAAGAATATTAATTAGAGCATTGAACTGTCTACTTACTAATTTTCTTTGAGCATCTCTGAAATATTAAATGAAAGTGTGATACTAACTGTATAATGAGCTCAGTGGATAATTTCAAATTTTTCTCCTCTACTTTTGGTTCTCTGTTTTTTTTTTCTTAACGTAATAAATAATTTTGTAGGATTTCTCATTCATTTTGGAGGGGATAACGCGACTACTGAATAATCCACTGACACAAACCTACTTACCAGGATCCACGAAGAAGGTCGAAATGCATCAGGAATTGCTGATTCTTTTCTGGCGTATTTGCGATGTCAATAAAAAATTCATGTTCTACGTCCTGAAATCCTCCCGAGTCCTCGACGTCCTTGTCCCCATCCTCTACCACCTCGTTGAGGCCCGAAATGATCAATGTGAGTTTTCGCTTCTTACTATGCTGCTGTAATCCTTGTTTCCCACAATCTTTGTTTCCTTTTTCTTTTATTGCCTCATTTTGTGCTAGTTATGTGAATTGGCTCCTCAAATGTGACGTTTATCTTGAGCAGCATGAAGCGTAATATTTGAACCTGTGACACTGCAGAACCCATGAATTTTATTCTCCATCGATTCACAAAAGAAGGCAGACAAGCGCTTTGGTTTCTGTTTTCTTTTAAGCTCTTTTGCTCACACTTAAACATTGCCTTTTTCGAGGTCCTAATAAATATTGACATTTTATCCAATATCCCATAAATTTTCTTTTGTAGCTCAATTGGGTCTGATGCATATTGGCATTTTCATCATTCTCCTATTAAGCGGAGAACGCAATTTTGGAGTGAGATTAAACAAACCTTACACCAATCGAACTGCCTTCGATATTACGCTTTTCACGGGTAACCATGCCGATCTTCTCATCATTGTGAGTTTCGAATTGCTAGCTTTATTTTACCGGATGCAATCTTCTTGAAGTTAAACCGTAAACATGCTCTATATATATATATATATATATATATATATATCCATCATCCACTTTGATGCTGAAGAATGGGAAGCGGGCTTAGGTCGAAATCTCGTTAGCACCCATACCAATGTATTTGAAATATAAGCGATGTGCTATGGAAGGGGGCTACTATATTTAGTGGTGAGGTAGTCCCTCCCTCTAATTCTTCATGATCTCTCTTTATGCCCCTCGTACTACTACGCACATCTTTATCCCCTTCCATATCATATTTGCATCAAATGGCAGGCGTTTTGATGGTCATCATTAGCACTTTAGTTGACTCCAGTCTTCACTGAGGGGAAGGAACATCCA